CCAGTGCCCAGGTCGTGGTAGATTAGGCTTGGATCCCTCGGTATGATGTTCGTGAACCTGGCAATTGCGGGTATTTGGCTCTTCCCAGAGAACTTGCGCAATCAAAAGAGTTTGACATGATTGGGTTTTCTTGCCTGGGCTGCGCACTAGCCGCCCTCAAAGACAGCCCAGCCACGGAACGCACGGCCGCCAACATTTCTTGCCCCGAGGCCTGCTTCGCCATGAACCTACACAGGCCGGCGGATGAATCTCGGCCTTTACTGCGAATTCTTTCAAGGGAGGACCCCTCTCAGATCCTCTCAGGACGAGGACTAGCACCTCCCCTTAAGCTGCTGTGTATGCAGTTCAGGGTCTTCGTTTTCTCTGAGTCCTATCTATGCGAGGAGCGCTTCTACCCGCTGCCTGTGGGCCTCCCCCACCACTGCGACGGTCTTCACCGGGGAAAGCTGCGCGGGGCGGGCGATGCAGAGATGCTGAGCCTGGCCAGACAACCCAAGGCAGAATGCTGATTGCCGTGTTGCGCACATTCTGTTGAAAAACCTGGCGCTTTCAGTACCCAGTACCAGTCAACCAACCCATGATACGACAGCAAAGGCGAAGCCAAGAGTAGCATACATTGTATCACATCCAGAAGCCAAGCCACCGTGCCGAGGATGAAGCGTATCTGGACCTCTGCACCGCCGTGGCCAGAGCGTGACCCCAGGCACCGGTTTCTCATCGGTTAGGACGTTGATGGCTTTACGGGTGGGTTCCAAGGATTTAGGATTTTGGAGGTTGGGCTTCGAGATTGGAATTTCTGAGCATCCGGAGACGTGGCGCCAGACCCTGGAAGTGCTCTTTGCACTCCCTACCTGGCATTTGCCGGCCATGTGACAATGTGACGGTTAGAGGTTAGAGAGAGTGGACAAGGTTCTCCATGGTCATGGCCCAAGCTCGGTCGTGAACTGAACGTGTCGCCCTCAGGCTGCTGGTGACACCCATGCAAGCGCCCGTGCTGCAAACAATACGGCATCAGATGTGAGATCAAAAAGCGAAGCACACTTCAACCATAACCAGATGTCGTTTCTGTGGGCGTAGTTTCCGTGGTCATTGGGAAGGTGATGAGCAAGGTTCTGTAACACGAAGTAACGCGTAATCGTATTGCGTTGCAGTTGAGAAGGCTAGATTCTAGCAGTGGACCAGATGTTCAGACTCTGCTTTAAGCGCACGGGTGATGAGGCTAGCCGCCTGCGTTCGAGATACATCGCCAGCAGGCTGCAAGGAAAAATAATTTCCGTCAGCCAGCTAGATAGGTGGCCGTTTCTGCTACAGCTTGCCTTGTGACTCCCGCGCAAGCTTCTGGTGTGAGAAAGGAAACATTAGTCCAGCCCGCGGCCAGGCTGCATCTAACGTGATTTGTTTGGCTCATGCACTTGCCAGCCTGGTTTTGCCCCGTTTCGTCACCCTGCCCAGGAGTTTTCGCACCTGGTGCACGTGGTGACGTGCCGGCATCTTGGCATCAACATGTCACACCATTGCAGCAACCTTCCTGGATTCCCCCGAGACTCAGAAACTCGCGCTTAGCTCGCGCTTTGCTCATGCCTGGCCGCAAGAAGCATTCGTCTAGGAGTCTAGGAGGACTGTTGAAGGCCCAGTGGCGCCCCAAAGGTTAGACTTCTCTGATTTCCTGGACCTCGTGAGCCAACATCGGGCCGTCCTCTCCCCACCAGGACGAGGCCACTTAGAACTGAAACTGCCTTACCGTAAAAGGTTTCCTGACCTGGATTTTTTGGTGGTGCATCTGGGTCCTGGAAAGCCAATCAGGTCCCATCAGGTCGACTAAAATGAGGGAACCAAAAGTGCTATTGTCGATTAGGAGGGGCTTAGGCGGATTTGGGGTTAAGGATCAGGAGAATGGTTTCAAGGCATACTCGCTTGTGCAACTCAGATAGGTGCCTCGCACAGCTGCAGGCAGTAAATCTTGCATTGCATAGGTCCACTAACCAAAGGAAGGCACGTTCCTTAGACGGCAGGAATGGAAGGCGAGAGCGCAAGCAGTGCCCGAGCTTGAAAGCCGTCAATAGCTTTGCAAGCAGCCTGTGTGGCAGGGCACGATTGCTACCGCACGTGGCAAGCTTTGGCAGCGTCCAAGCTTGATTCAGAAAGGTGTGCTTCAGCTGAGATGCGTAAATGCTGAACGAGCTACTTGGTGCCGCAGACTTTGCTTTTCTTCTAGCCGCTCTAGCCTCTCAGGTTGGCACGGCGCCACTGGTTGTGCAGGATCCTCTCTTCGATGAACGTTTGTACACGAACCCTGGCTGAAAGTCGTAGCATCTGCTGCCCAGTCAATTTTCGAACCTCCGCAAAGCGTAACAAGCCACGCTGCAGCTGCACCATATGCGGGCCAAGCAGCAGTCCCACCATCACACACAGATATATTATGTGACACAGATATGTACATGATATGTGCATATATGTACATACACATGTTGGGGTATTTTGTTGAATGTATGTACACCCATATTACATACATACATACATACATACATACATACATACATACATGTATACATGTGTTCGTGATGTTGCGCAGCTTGATGAGCTGTCGCGCAGGATGGCTGGGCTGCAGAGACTTGGACAACAGCAAGAGCCAGAGCCACTTACATTTTTCTGGATTGCAGAACTTTTCTGCTCTGTTTTCAGACAACAGCATTTCACATCGTTACACTTACATCTCCCTCAGGATGATTGCGCCGCCCGAGAACTTGACGCCGGACGTGCTGAAGGCTTGCAGTTCTTTCGGAAGATTCAGATTGCCATTCGAAATGCAAAGCGCATAGGCTTTGCTTGACCGCCTTGTGGATCCAAGCCCGTGGCGCTGCTGTGTGGAGATGGCGCCTCCCGTCTTTAAGCGGACAGGAGGGCTTGCCCTTCAGGGTGGGAAGTTGCATTGGTGCTTGACAGTTGCACTTCTCAGCATGTGCTGAGGAGCATGTAGCTGGGCAGAATTTGATGGCTTGTATGGGAAGTTTCAGCCCTCCGGAGAAGAACAGCTGGGTCACACAAAGGGATGTACTAGGAGGCAAGACGTAGCATTGTGCTCGCTGGTAAGGTACTGGAAGGACACATGGCGCTCGCATCTTCAAAGTGCAAGGTGCAAAAGAGCGCGCCCCTGCTGATGCAACACGTTCGTTATTTTGTGGCTACTGCGATGGCAGTCGTTGCGAGTGATTGATTATGTTTGATCTTGGGGGGCAAGCTGATGGGTGGGTATCAGAGTTCCACGCGTTCATGATGCGCATGGTTGGGCTGCTGCAAGTGGAGGGGGCTGGGGCCAGCCTTTAACGACAACAGCTCAAGCGTGGCCTCAAGTCTGAACCTTTCCCACCAACATGCTGCATGCGCGGAATAAGAGAGCAGGGAGCAAAGGTGTAGCCAGGCCTTCATTGGTGCACCTCAAGGTACCTCATTCCAAATCTTGGGGAGTCGGCCACAGCAGGGAGCTGCAGGGCTGCGGCTATCCTTTACATGAAGTAGCAAAAGGATTGATAGGGAATATTAGACCTGTTGAGGGACCATCCCCTGCAGCTTCCTAGCTTCTGGCTTTGAGTCTAATCTGCAAGGACTGTGGGCTGCTCCTCCTGACCGGCCAGCGACTGGAGGTCCTTTTGGCAGATGGCTTGCATTGAGCTTGAAACAAGGTTTCCCTGGGTCATTTTATCCATACTTTTGCATAGTGCGCATGCAGACTGACAGTTGCAACTTTGATAAAGTAAGACGCTACCTACCAGGACCAGGCAAATCACAATGCCCCGAGGCAACCTCTAAATTTTGAACATGTGTCGGTTGACCGGCAATGCAAGATAAGATCTAGATCAGAACAATGTGGCCGCTTTTTTTACGAAAGCCAGGTCCTTGCAGCAACCTGGCACCAATCAAGGTTGAAAGCTATTGTAGGTATTTCCAATCCTTTGCAGGAATGGAGGTATGCCCAAATATATGCGCACTGGAGCCATCCCCGCAAGAGATGCTAAGGCAGACACATGGCCACTCATTCTCTGCCCCTGCATACGTGCTTGATCCCCGACGAGAGTTTGTGCCGATCAGGTCTCATTTGGTCAGGGGTGTCAGGTATTGTGGTCACCGTTGATTCCAGGCTCACCTTCGCATGGTGGAGGGCCTTGGCGTGGGCCCGAGAGAGCAGAACACTGCTTCGCAAGCTGGGGATGCTTGCAGTGTGATGGTAAAGGAAGACACGCTATCAACGAAGGGCATTGCAGTGCTCTGAAACAAGGGCCTGGTTTTAGTTGCCGCAGGGCCTTGGAGATTCTTGGAAGACAGTGTCTTTGGGCATGATCAGAATCTGAAGTTGCCGCAGCGTTGCCCAGGCATGGTCGCCGAAACGCTGAATCTTGTCCAGATTCTGAGTGGCAGTGTGCTTAGTCGCCGGCGGTATATTGCATTAAACATGGGTCGGAGTATATACATCTGGGGGGGCAGGGGAGCCCTTAATATTAGGGGGAAAGAAGTAGTTGTGCAAGGTGGGCGCTACGAGCCAAATGAGAAGGCCACCACTTGATCCATGTGTGGCTACTAGGCAGCTCTAGTGGCCCTGGCACCTGTGCCAGGCAGATGGTTACGACCATGAGGAGACAATTGTGCCAGCCTTAGTGCAGCCTCATCGAAGCTCCGTACAAACCATGAAGTCACAAAAAAAGCTTACGCATAATTCTGCCATGCAAGAATTGGGGTGCAAGCTCGCCCTTTGCCCAGAATGAGCGCTTGGTTTGCCATGGTTTGCCTTTTAGGCTGCCTTGCGGGACCATCGCAGAAGCTTGGGCCTCACCATGGACCAGGAGCGAGATTTGCCTCCTGTGCCAAAGCCTTCATTGCAAGGTCACGCAAAATCCCCAGGTCCTACTAAATTGCTTATGCATCTTCTTGGGGAGCCATCGGCGGTCATTTGGCTGTCATGTCGGAGATAACTCAACCCGCTTTTAGCCGTTGGCTCGAGCAGTGAGATGCCGCGCTCCACTCGATACAAGAGCCATGTGCTGAGCCTCAGACGCCCCCTCTCCCAGAGCCTGGCCGCCTTGAAGCTCGGTCGCTGATTGAAGCACTGAGAACGGCTTTGAAGGTGCCCCTGTTTTTTCTATCGAAACATTGACTTCTTGCAGATAAGGCTTGCAATCCTCTTCGTGCTCGGTGGCGGAGCAGCTTTTTGCAACAGCACAGCGTTGCGTCAACGTATCTCGCATGCATTGCTGTTAAGTTTTGCTATTAATCCAGATGTGGGTAGCCATTTCTAGCATTTTTGCGCCTTGAGCTCTTGAAAGCTTTGGCCTGCCCCTGCCTGGTGGGAAGGTTCTAGCAGGCGGCTTCCGAGGAGGCAGGGCGACTGGATAGAGGTGGCAGAGGCGGCTGCTGTGGAAGCATCCGACAATGCCACTGTACTACCCGTGTTTCCGCTTTCCTCCATCTACTGGCCTGGCACAGAGGCGCGGTTGAACATCATTGATCCAGCATACATTAAGATGTACGATGACATCTTGCTTTCTGGCTCTCGCCGTTTCGTGGTACCGTACACCCGGTCTCTCCCTGGAGGGCGGGTGAGATATGCAGAGATGCCGCGCGAAGACAGGAAATTATTTCACGTAGGCTCGCTTCTGTATCTGACAGATCTGCAGGAGGTCAGTAGCCAAACTGGGGACCGTGTGAAGTACGTCGTGAGCCATGAAGTGAAAGGGCGTGTGAAACTGTTGCGCTTGTTGAACCCTTCTGCTTTGTTCGAGACTGATGATGAGGGCAATAAGATCAATTATTTGAACGCAGAGGTCGAGATCCTTTCCGAGAATCCTGAGGAGACGACGCCTCACGCTTCGTGGAGGGAAGAGCTCTTGAGCTCATGGAAGCAGCTCCACCAGCTGTCGCAGCGTTTTGAAGAGCCACGGGTCGCTGAAGACTTCTTCGTGAAGATCGGTCCCAATGTGTCCACATGGGTTCTGTCTGCAGCTTGGCAGGAGTTGCAAGTGGCCACAGAGGTGGACCGCGGCCAGAAGAGGGCATTACAAGATGTTGAGCAGTTTCTGAAGGCAATGAAGCAGCAAAACTCCGAGATGTCGGGCCAGGAGGCACTTCAACGAGTTCCGAGAGGCCTCCTGCGAGCCCTATCTGGGAGCGTCGAGCTTTCCTCTGATTTCTGGGAGCCCTTGCTGCAAATACTTGCCACCGACAGCACAGAGGACAGAGGCAAATTCTTGCTTGAGCTGATACAGAACGAGCTCAAGCTGTCAAACACTCGCTTATCCCTGAAGAAGGCTCTGTCTGAAGATTGATTTACTTGGAGCTGTCTTCCCTGTGCATGCCTCCCCTTTTTAAGTGCCCAAGGATGGCTGTGGCTGGGGATGGAGTTGGTACCGTCTCTGTTCGTGCAGCCGGACGGTACGTAGTGGCTCAAAGCGGCCAGGAGGATCGGAAAAGTCGCTTTCTGCCAGGCATCCGAGGTGTTTTCAAGCCCTTGAGCGTTCGAATTTCCTGTGAGCACAGCCAAAGGAGGCTGCCGCCAACTACTGATGCGATGTGATTGTGTTTGGTGTTTGGTGAAAGGTCTCCATGGCAGGGAATAACAGATGTGATTTTGACCAGTGGTTACCAGATCCAGAAAAAGTGTTGATTTAAGAATTTGCTGATTGGCGACTGAATATTCACCCCTAAGCACCTTCGTCTTGTTTCCTGGTTCGGAGGTGAGGGCTACCAAATTGAAGTTTGTGTGGCAGGAAATGTCCGAGAAATTGTGCTCCAAATGGGTCCCAATCCTTTGAGCCTCAGCAGTGACACATCTTGCAACTAGGAGGAAGAGGCGGAACCCAGGACATGTGGCGCCCTTGGAGCTGTGGTCAGACCTTCTGTCAACGTCGAGTTGCTTGCAGGATTTGTATCACAGGAGCACTTTTGAGGGCTATGAAAAAATTAGGGAGCGCAGCATTATCCTGTTTCACTTGGCTGACAAAGACTACGGTGCGATAGGTTGAGGACCCGAAGGTTATCCAAGTTGTAGTGGGAAGGCTGAAGGAGGTCGGGCTGATATGGACATACCTTGTACATAGCGGGCAGCCGCCAATTTCAGCCGCGGGCCGGAATTGGAGGGTGCTCCTGTAGCAGGCAGTCCCCTCACAATGCTGCGGGCACTTCGGACGGACATGACACTTTGACATACCAGGTCTGAGTTGCGATGAGTTGCGTGAAGTAGCTGATGACCTTTGGTCTTGGACGACACCTGGAAGCTGCAGGATGGTATGAGTGTCATGTCCTGGGCCAAACACTGTGTTGAGGCGTTGTTCACCGCCGCAGAGCGCGAACGTACTCGGGGTCCAGTTAGGCTGAAGTGGAAGCGGTTGAAGCTTGTAAAGTCCGTAGATCCTGGCAGGTCTCCCTGAACAAGAAACACTCATGGAGGGCATCAGACTCCGAGGTTCTCTGAAAGCCTTCCTCAGCTTGCCCATGTTGACTGAGATACTAAGGCAAGGTGAAGACTCTGCTGTCCTTCTGATGTGAGAGGTTCTGCCATGATGCTTACAAGTTGGGATCTTCGAAGTTTACTGTTTTGGAATGGGCAGGTTCAATATCAGTGTATCTACATCACCGTTTTTATTGCGGAATCCGAGGCATAGAGGCAGCGGTTGCTGCGCAAAAACGTACTACTGCTATATGGAACGGCATAGCTCAGATATTTCACGCCAGATCTAGTAGCGGCAAATTCGCTTGCAAAGGCGGTGCGTGACTTTCATTAATGCACAAGTAGTTGGCGTTGGGCATTGCCGTGGTGATTAGCGGATGGCTACCCGGCAGGGGCAAAGAGCCGTAGAATGTCAGGCTACTTTGTTTCCCAGGTTTAAGGCTGCCCAAGCCGCCCCGTTGCATGAAGCGCGAGTGCAAGTTTGAGTTTAGCGTCACGTGAGCGGTGACACAACCGGCCATGAGGCATCATTGAAGCTGCTTTAAGAGCAGAAGCCCCAACTGAGCCAGCGATACCGCGCTGAACTACGCTAAACTCGCACTGCTCAGGTATTAATTTGTGAAGAGGGCGGCCTCAGTGCCGTGCAGCGGAGACGGGGAGCTGAGGTTTTCAGTGTCTGGTTTGAAAGAAGCGTCCTTCACTAACTCCTCGATGTTCAGGTGCTGCAGAGTACTCAGGGCGTTGGTGCCCTGGTGTTGCTGTAAATTTGGCACTAGCGTCACAAGAGGGCTCTGGCGCCTATATTGTGCCAGCAAAGTCCCTATCTAGCTGAAAGCAGAAAGCAGCCTTGAATACTCCTCCATATTTTCATATGTAGCTGTAGCTTCATTGCGACAAGCTACCCTGCATATTTCCCGCTTTTTGTCAACGATGGTTTCCTAGTTACCCGAAGAAACCATTTAGCCCACTACATCGCATGTAATCCTCATTCATTAAGGCCAGATGGTTGCCGTTCCCGCGTCCACCAGCATCTTTGCAGACCTTCATCCTTGTGATCCCCATGAGAAGCCCTACATAACCCCGTGATGATGACGTGTAATCCGCTCGTCGCCCCATTTGTGGTAATTTTATGGGGATGCTTCACAGTTTGGAAATGCGAGGTGTCGGCTGGGACTCGTGCCTAAAGGCAGCAGGGCAACGGCTCGATGGGAGGTGTTGATTGCGATCATTTGCATGGGGACACTGTTTCAGGAGAACTTGTTGATGGCTTGAGCGGGTCAGGGGCGAGCATTTGATGGCATACGGATGTCTGTGCGCGTGGAGAGCGGGAAGCTTTTTGATGGCATGAAGTTCCTGTGAATGGGGACGTGGGTGCGTGCGTGGAAACTTTTCGATGGAGCGACCGTGTTCGCTTGAGAAGTTTCTTCTCTTTGATTCGGCTGGGCCTTCCAAGAAGAAGGGCGATCTGTGGACTGAGGCTGTTTTGAGAAAATCCCGTGTTTTCTTAATGCCATTTCAGCGATTTTTTTTGCTGAGCTTCACATGGGAAAGGTTGCATTTTATAGGAGCATTCCACCAGCTCACGCTCCCAGCATTCTTGTCAACGCCGCTGCCGTCGCTACAAGGGGGAGGCAAATGCTTCCACTGCTCCTCGTTGCCGCCTCGGAACATGAGCCCGCCCAACTTCATTTGCCGCTGGTGCATTGCCGCTGGGTGGCTGTCAGGCTTTCATGCTGTCGTGAATGGAAGGGGCCCCGTCACAGGCATTAGAGCAGTGCTTCAGCTTCCTGAGCCCAAACGTATGCAGGATGTTATTGAACCAATCTGACAGTCACCCGCCTTGGCTTGGCAACTGGCTCTTGCGTGTTGGAATTTCGAGATGTGCGTTCAGCTTCCCGACCTTCAAAACAAGCTGTGTGTGCGGATTGGCAGCTGCGCTGGCCGTGCCAATGTAAGCCGCGAAAGCATCCACACAGGCGGCTTGTGCATCCTCACCTAGTGGTCAACATAGTCTGTGGGTCTTGCAACGCGTGTGTTGGTGCCACACTTACTGAGTTGCCAGTTGTTTTTCATTACAGGACCTCGCAGCAATATCAGCAATCAGGCCCGAGACGACTCCTCTCGGGCTGTTAGCTGTGGACATTGTTGGGCCATGTTGGGCAGCAGAAGCACTGATTACAACGCCATTATGTCTTGCATCTGCTTCAAGAATCAAGGGTTGTTAGGAGGGACCCCTAGAAGGGACCCCTAATCCCATTACCTTATATAACCCTTATATAGGCTTTATATATATACCCCTATAAAACCAGGCAGTACCCATATTACCCCCAATAAGCTACAAGGGTCCCCATTAAGGGTCCCTCCTAAAGCCCCTAGAAAGAAGTCCGAAAGATGAGGTCAGATAACGTCAGCTTTGATCTCCTTACTACCAACTGCTGTCCGCAATTCTTTACCTGCAGAGTTCTACACGAAAATTCCAGAAACCTATACCTGCAACGTCTTGTGAGGGAGGGATAGAAACTAATCCTCATGGGCCGCTCCTTGCAATGTCCGGGTCAGCGTCTCTTGGATTTTAACGAGGTGGTCTCAGCAAAGACCTTTTCTCCATGATGAATTGAAAGGGCTCCAAGTGTACCGTGTATCCAGGATGTAGGAGTCCCCAGAGCTTCTCCTGCCTGCATGCCTCCAGCGTCCACAATTCCCAGTTCAAGGAGGAGTGTCCTTTACGCAGTGGCCACCTCTTGCTTCAATTTGATGGTTGCTAAGCCGTTTCCTCACGAGGGCGCATGAAGCATGGTGACTTGCTCTGGCTCAAGTGGTCCTGCTAGAGATACAATGGAGCCTGCACTGCGTGTCGCAGCGCTTCCAGTGCCGGAGGCCAGCGGAAGTCCCGCCCTCCGTCCCCACCAAGGCCCCGCATCCGGGAGCTCCCGTTTCAAAAAGTTTCCAAGCCTTGGTCTCGCGGGACTTGTGGCAGTAGCCTGTCGCCATGGCCGACGAAAAGGTGCTCTAAGAGCACAGGTAGGTGAGGTAGAGCTACCCTTGGATTCGCTAACCGAGGTGGAAGGCAACTACGCAAAGGACTTACCACCAGAAAGGCTGCAAGCAGCCCGGCAGGTGTTCCCAGAGGTGAACTTGCAGGCCGAAGGCCTTCGCCTCATGAACGAGGACCCTCCTATCCTGCTCCTGGAAGGTATCCTATCAGATGCTGAGTGCTCGGACTTTGTGGAATCCATGCGCAACAAGGATGGTAGCTTCCCAGAGCGCTTAGGTCAGGCGAACATAGATGTTCCTGGTTGGCTCACACCTGTCAGGACTGCATTTCGAGGCGTCCCCGTCCTGGACTGGCTCGGTAATCCAACCGTGCGATGGACATATAAAAGCCGATGTCTGCTGGACATATACCTTCAGAAGGTTCGGGACCGGTGCGGCCTTGACCTCAGCTACGGACAGGCCAACATCAAGCATTACCGCCAAGAGCAGTGGTTACCTGTGCACATCGACTACAATCGTGCAACCCTGATGACCTATCTCAATGACGTGACTGATGGCGGCCACACGCTGTTCCCAACGTTGGGGATCAAAGTGAAACCATCCAAGGGCAGCGCCCTGATTTGGCCAAACCAGCCTCCGCTAAAGCACGCTGGCGACCGCGTACTGCAGGGGGAGAAGTGGATCATTTTCTACAATTGGCCAGCCGCTGATAATTGGGAGTATGATGACAATTTTGAGTTCAATGCCGACTGATTTGCCTCACGCCAAATCCAGCAAAATCAGTGCGTGATTTGCACGGAATCTGCGAAGCGACAACCTGCAGATGAAACACCGCACTCCTGCAACTACCTTCTTTGAAGTCCTGGCTCCTGCACCCCTCAGCAGCTCCAGCACTTTCGGGATTCATTACGATTTATTTAGTCATGGCTTGCCAGATCAGCATGTTACCTCAAGTTACCTTCGTGCATGACGTTCAGTGCAAAATAACCTCGCCTGTTCTACCTGGCAAGCCCTGACCTTCGACATTTCCACCCCGTGGAGCTTGCTTCAGCCAAGGTTTAGCGATGTGCTGCGGAGTCGCCAGGGCCTTGCAAATTGAGCCGAGTCTACGCAGGTTATATCAACACCGGCAACTGTCTGTCTCTTGCTGTGTGTGATGGACTTTTGGTGCCTTGAGATGGCCGGAGATGTGAACAAATTCTGGGAGGGACTTCACCAAGCTGAACATGAATTTTACACGAGATTTGAGCAATTTCGACAGGGTTTTAAGCAGATTTGGGCCAAATTTGGGCAGGGAGTCGAGAGGATCACAAGCAGCGGGGACGTGATGAAAGCCCTTGCCCGCTTCTCTCAACTCGCCAACCAATTTTGCCGCTAGAATATGCTAGAATTTTCTCACATCTCTTGCCATCTCACGGTCCAAGACCACTTCTCAATTCTCCAAGCCCATCTCAGAGGAACAAATTCTAAACCGTAATAGTACAGCTCTAATAGTAGTACTTGTAATATGAGTAACAATAGTCATGCAGGTTGGTTCAACTGTTCAACCACCAACACAACTATCATGCGACAATGACTCAAGCTCTTGCAGGTAGCCAGGGAAACTCAAAGCGATTGATCCCAACCTGGCTGCAAGAATCCTGAAACTCAGGGCCGTTTTCACTTAGGATTTCTCGCTTGCGCCCAAGCACCTGGAGATCCTGGCGTTGTGCAGAGGCCAGGTATGAAGCTTTCCCAGAAAGATTCAATGCCGGGTTAACCATTCAGGTCTGGGTATGGTTGGGCTGCTTTTTGGACCATTTGGTAGCAAGGGAAGCTAGCAAGGGAAGCAACAGAGAAGAGATGGTCTTGGTTGCTTTGCATGGTGATCTATGCTGGTGACCTCAAGCCGTTGGGATGAGTCATTTCCGACTCTGCATGCTCTTAGGCATCTCTAGGCAATTCTTGCCATACGCCAAGCCTGGGGCCGCTTCGGGCCTGATCAGGGAGCTGTCTGAAAGCCTGATCAAAGTTCGTGAAAAGCAGTGGAGAGGTTCGATTCCTGCCTCAAGACTTCCCATTCAACGTGCGAAGCAGCACCTCAAAGCAACTGGTCCTTGGCCTAGGTACTCTCGCTCGGAGCTTATTCATGTTGGATCTAGCGTTGCAGTCAGACGGAAGCCAGGGGTTGCGGCGCATTGTTTGGACTGTTATTGCTGCTCTAGCCCCAGAAGCAATTTTCACGATGGTTGGGCTGAGCTGAGCCTGCGAGTCAGTACACGTGCAATCACAACTGTCATAGGTGGCATGTTTCTGTCAACTCCTGCTTAAAGCGGTGCCTGAGATCGTGTGATATCGCAGTGCCTCAGCCATCTAGCTACAGATTGGCTGCTAAAATGCAGCCACAGGCTCCGTGACCTCCCGCAATGGGACGACCAAATGCTTCGTCAATTGATGACCTGTTCAGGCAGCCGCTTGCCACAATCCTGACCGCCTCAAATCGGGTGTGAGACTTCACGTCCCCTCTACAATTCTTCAAGGTTTTTTGAATTGAAGACTTCTGCTGCAGAAAGAGTTCCTCAAATTTGGGTTCCAGCAGGGAGTATCATTGTAGTAGTGATGAAAGGGGCACAAGGGCTCGAGAGCTTCAGCCGAGGAAGAGCCTGGTGGAGATCCATGGCCTCCTGCAGAAAACACGGTCTGAGGCCTCGCCAGAGAGCGCTTCTTCAACCATTGAAGCAAGTTGTGGATTTTGAAGATCATGGAGCTTCGACCCTGTCCGCTGTGTTCTAGGTGGAAGCGAAAAAGTCCGAGCTCAGAGAACTCGTCGGGGACCACTACCGCCCCTTGCCCAGGTTTGATGTGACGATCACCGGAAAAGTACACAACGGACAGCAAAAAAGAACCCTATGTTGCACCTTCGTATGTGACCAGTGGCACGTAAATTCATTCCGCAGTCACCTAGATCGGCTGTGCCGAGCGCTTGTTCTGCATAGTTGATAGAATTGTTGGGCTTTCAGGGCCTCAGGAGAGGAAGCTCCTCTTGCACCTGAGGGTTTGACCCGCAGCTTTGGATGGTAGTATTTGGGGCCGTGTTCGTGGTGAGTTCGCGATGAGCAGGCAAGCAGGGTCCAAGATCCATAGCACTTGCAGGGGACACAGTTCTGAGGAAGTGTGCTGGAGTCATCAGACCACATTCGAGCAATGTCAGAGTGCGGCTTGCCGGCAGTTGCGTTTTGATTTTTTGAATGGCCTGGCAACTGATGCTGACGCAGGATGCTGTCATTTTGCTTGAGAAGGCCTGGGGCAGGACTAACGTAACAACGGATGAACGTCCTGTCCAAGGCAAGCGCTGACATCCTAAAGCGCATCGCTAAACCTCTACCATGCCGGAGAACTGAAACTCCCTCAGCTGCTGCTCAACTGTCCAGCATTTCTCTCGTGGATAGGTGCTTCCATGGTTGCCCAGAAGGCAGAAAAGGCCGACGAGCTCATCGCCACGATGCTGCCTGGCAGCAAGGGTGCTGGACTCCTGTGTTTTCCAGGTTCTTGAAATGTCGCCATGCGATCGTAAAAAGAACTCATAAGCTGCAAGCCTAGTCAGATCCACCCTCAACTCATCCCTGTGCTTGAGCGCTGCCTGACGTGAATCACATTGAAGCTTGGGCCCTCATGTGATGCTTCAACCGGTTCTTCTGGTTGGAAAGTTGGGGCCCAGCAGAAAGGCACCCTTTCTGCTGCCTATGAACCTGCAACTTTCTCCCACACATGTCGAATCCGTAGTTCCTGTACTATTATAATACTAGCGGTGAGGCGGGAGCTGGCGGCCAACCCTCCCGCGGCAGAAGCTGCTGCAGAAGGCGCCCTTCGTATATAGTACAGTGCGAGCGATAATTTCTACAGCAGTAGCGGTGCATGGTCACGGCGGTTCCCGACTGCTCCGGCAGCTGTTCTGCTGCTGTTTGCTTCCTGCTCATGACTATATTATTTACTTGGCATGTTTTGTTATCGGGATGAGAGTTTTACGGTCTGCAGTAGTTGGTGGCGCGCACAGAAACGCCTGGCGATTCGTGCGCGTTTTAGTAGTTTTTGAATGAAAGGTTTCTTGCCTTCTCCGCTGACCCGAGCAAGCAAAGACTATTCCGCGTCGTCCACATTTCGCTGCAGAGCATCAATGCCCAAACGGTAGTTACGCTGGTGTTCCCAAACTGTTGTTACGCTCGTGTTCCAACAGCATACGGCCACTGGAGGATCCATGCCCAAGCCATACTAGCGTTCCAAGAGCATACGGTCACCAGAGCGCCCATGCCCAAACCATAAAAACGTTCGTATTCCACGAGCACACAGTCACCAGAGCGTGCACGCGCAGACCATAGTAACGTTTGTGTTCCAACGGCATACGATTACCAGAGCATGGATGCCTTGGCGCAGCTGTGCCGCAAGGGGACGGGATTTGAAGTATACTCTAAACAGAGTGACCAAGCTTTGCGTTGTCGATGCATTGCCGCAGCAGTGCCTTAGAGAAGGCCAAGTTTTGAGTACTGTACTGTTCGGCCCGCAAAACGCAGACGATCGAACGAAAACAAATAAGTTTACAGTGTTTTACACTTGCCTATTTCGCGGCTGAAATCGCGCTAAAACCCCAGCTTCGTGCGCTTTAGCTTTCTCAAGCACCCAGAGGTTCTATTGAAAAGTTGGAAGGCAGCAGCAGGTTGGTGCGCGGCATCAGGACGTGGTCAGCCATTCTATCGAGAGATCCATACACCCATTCTGATACCAGCAGCTGTGAAGTTCGGAATTCCAGTTACCCCCAGCAGGCATTTCCGAAATGACACCTTGATACTGTGAAGCAGCGATTCAGCAATTGTGGACCGTAGAGCCGTGTTTTCTGCTCCTTGTTCAAAGCCGGCAGCAGGCGCTTCAGAAGCCGGGGATGCAGCGCCTCAGCAGCAGAAATCAAGTGCTTGAAGCCATGCTGGTGTTTTTTTGTATGTCGAATCTTGACATTGCAAGCCCGTTTCTTTTCAACAAGCCAGCCCACAGAAAAATGTGCTGCTTCTGGCGTAGTGTGTTGGAAAAGAAAACGAGCTGCTGCTGCGGCTGCTTAGTTTTGGCCCAGCCACACGCACAGTGAGCACAAGAGCACCTGGACTGCGTCAAGGGCCAGCAGCCTGTGAAAACGATTGGCCTGAAGAAGTTGAGCTGGATCGTAAGCCTTGAGAAGCTAAGAGCTCAACATGCTGTCATTTGTCATCATCCTACAGGATCTAGAGTGTAGAGTCCTGTCCAATTGTTGAGCTTCGATGCTTCCAGTACATCGTACAGAGCAACTGCCCCGCAGTACAGCCAGTTTCAAGCATGTAGCCATCTGGCAAGCGGCCGCACTGAGGAATTTGAAGTCTGCGAAAGACTGGCAGAACTCCTAGATTTGCCAGAGAGGGTGGCTCGATGCACTAATTTGAACCTGGTGAGGCACGCATTCTAGTCCGCAAAGCTAAGTCCAATCGCAGGATTGGGATGCAGCGGAGAAAGGCTTGGGGATTTCTCAAACCCGCTGCAGTAGTTATCGAACATCATAGCCGAAAGCTAATGTCATGGCCCTGGCTAATGCGGTTGAACGACTCTTGGTTTCGTTGAGATGGCCCTGCGCCTTGTTTGACTCCAGGTGCTTTTTGGAGATTATGTCAATGAAGAACTTAATTGGCAGCGCGGTCGTTGAGCGGCCTTTGCTGCAACATCCTTTGATAGGTATGATGCATCGGACAGACCACCTAGCAGTCTATGACCTAAGACAGAAGCTGGTCAGCCCTGCTACAGTTTCCGAGCCTTTTGAAAGCATCAGGATCCCCAAACACTAGCTACGAAGCAAACTTCAATGTCATAACCCGTGACTGATCGCATACTGTAGCGGCAGAAATCTTCTCCGATATGCCGTATGCCCACTTACGCATACTGTGTTTCAGGTTACGTGATTACCCTTTGTTCTGCCCAGCACCCTGCATGGATGGACTTCAATATAGAGCAAGTAGTAAAGCAGTATGTGTTTCCGAATGCCGTCAGTTGCAGTCACTCCACGCTCACCAGTAAGTCCGAAAAGTTCAAAGTGTGAACAGCTGCAACAGCTGCGCAAGCCAAAGCCTGCTGGCCCAATGGTAGACAATCAGGCTTACGACGAGCAGCTTTTTACTGGACTTAAGACCTTGGACCTGCCCTCCAACCCTGCAACGTAGCCTGCACCCCAGGTCAGAGATCAGCTTGCAGACTTCCACTTCGTCGAGGCTGCGCGAGTGGCGCTGGTGGATGCACCGACTCTGCAGGCCGAGGCCAGGCAGCCGTGCAGCTTACTTGGATTCGGCCCTGTTCTGGTTTGGGATTTTACGGAATCTAAGTCTTCGAGGCCCTGGCATGTGTTTTGGGAAGCAGGGGCCAATGCGCCACAAGTGGCAATCTCGTCACGCTTAAACATATGCGGTAGAGGTATAGGGGCTGTCATTGCTTCAGCTGTGTCACCCGGGAACCGCCTTGCACCAATCAGAGAGCCCCCAAACTAATCCCCCTCACTGGATGATGGTCAAGACAGACCCATGTACTCCTGCGTTTTGGAGGAAATGGTATCTACATAATTTTCATCGACATGGCCTGCTTTTGTGTAGCGCATTGATGAACTCAGCAGAATGGACTCCTACCTGCGAAGCAGACCAGAAATCCAGGTCCAGCAGATACTGGATGCCTCGCCGTCACCATTACCTGGCTTTGACATCCATGGCCAGGGCCCAAGTGAAGTGAACCTTGGATGAGGTCAGGACTGTCATCAAGATCGTGCTAGTGTATGACTAGCACCAGAAATACCGTATGGGCTCACAAATAAGATCAGCTTTAGATGAGCTGGTAAAGTTGCTAGAAGGATTCGTATGTGCCTCGCTGCTAAGTTTGAGCCGAGACGGCTTACTAATGAATTTCAGGTCTCATTGCTCAGCAGGCAGCCTTCTACCGCTCCTTGCCGCGGCAGGCGGGCCTTGTGGGCCCAGGGGTCTAACATCATGAGTTCGGACATGGTCGGTGGAGTCGGATGTTGGCGCACTTCAAGCAAAACTCGCGTGGTTGTCAATGCCTGGGGCCTCTCTACCTTTCCTTATAGTGGTAACTCCATATAGAGAGCAGTTGAACATCGCGCGTAGTGGATCTCAGAGGCACGAGGAGAATTCAAAGCGCGCGTCCGTGTCACCTGCAAGATGTTTGCTTCCCTTTGTCAAGCTCGCTGCCGAAGTGACAGTAGGCTTTCTGCGGTTCATGCTTCCAAGCCTCAAGTCGGACGCACGTTCGCCTTTCTGAAGCCTGCAAGATCACAAGCTCACATGCCTCGCTCAGTTTGTACCCTGCAACACAGGTGGCCTCTGGGTGTCTAGATGCCTTTGACGCTGCAGAGCTTACGCCTACGGGTGCGGCAGAAGCTTTTGTATCTTGGCTGCAGAGAGACAATATGCAACGAAGACCTGGCTTCTCTGAGAGGTACACAGTAAATTCGAGTGGGTCTCTCTGGTCTACTGTGGAAAGATCTGGTAGTGAGGTCATCAGCGCTGCAGGGTGGATCCCTCATCTTAGGTTGCTCATCTCCTTCTTGATGACGCAGCCCAACACGATGCGTCACTGAGCAGACTTCAAGTGACCAAGTATTGCAGAGATTGGCTTGGTTTCTAGTCATACCTGAGGCCAGCTTCTTTACGCCGCAAGCGTTTTCTTTGCAGTAGATGTTGCATGCTGTGCGACTTCACTCAAGTTTATGGTCCTGTGAAGTGCAAGGACTACAGTCGGCTAGATCAGATACCCTAGCCTTGCAGCAAGAGTCAACACTGTCTGCAGCCCATCGACTACTCTACCATGCAGACGCACGTGTGAAGTCCGGATATCTAGGCTTTTGCGGCGCTTCGTCGAACGGCGTTCTGCTTCTTGGCTTCAGGGACCCTACTTGTGTATCGGTTTGACCATGCAAATCCGTCCCTAGCGTACGTCAGTTGCATTCAGGCATGCTAAAGGCTTGGCACAATGTTCCAAAGATCATGTGTCTGCCTTGAGCCCTGTAGCCCTCGAAGGCGCTGCTCCGCCATGTTCTCGAGAGCCCCGGCACAGCGTGACTTGGTCACAAGAGTTCTCAGTTTCGAAGCTTTGCAAGGCCAGCAACATGTGCAAGTGGACGCCACCTGAAGCTGCTCAGGTTTGGCGGTGACACCGCAGAAGGCCTGCCCCTGAGATCAGTGTTCCATGAAGGTGCGAGTTCGGAACATGCAGCACGTCCTACTATCTGGGTCAGCTACCAGACAAGCCAAGTTGTCAACATCTCCTTCGCTGCATGCGTGAGAATCTCGCAGCCTATATTATGACAGTAAATGATGCAAAGGATGCCTGGCCCGCTTGGTCTCGGCAGCGCAGACCTTTGAGGGCACTGTCGTGCTGGCTTCTAGCTGCTCGGCTTCCTCAATTTAACTGGTTCTGTTCTTCTCTTTTGGGGCCTTTACGCGAGGGGCGAGACATGGTGCCGCACACAATGGCGGGGCTAGGCAGGCCATTGGGCATTCGGCCACAAAACAAGGCTCGGGCTGGCGGGACAACAGCTGTGAACTTCAGTCAAAAGCTTCCACCCACCCAACCCAAAGGCTGGTCGCTGCGAGTTCTGCAAGCACAAGCACACAGGTTTTGCATGGTTTTGCCCTTGCTCGGCATTAGCCTCACACGCTTACAAAAAACCATAGATATGCAAGCTACAACGAAACCCTTTGCGGTAGTGCTCAAGCAACGCAGGAAGTTGGACAGGAGGGCTTCCGGAAGGTTTTCGGATTCGATTTGGAACCGCAGCACGTATCCTTGGCGAATTCTCTGTATGCTGAAGTCCTTGTTATGGATTAAGCCCGCAGAAACCTTGTCCCGGAGTTCGTCTGCAGAGGGCACGTGCAGAAACTCGACCTCACCTAAAAGCCATGCGGCTTGGACCTGCTTTGAGGCCTTTGCTCTTCTGGCTCAGGCCGTGCTTCACGTGTTTTGTTTGTAATTGGCGCTCTCTTTCGAGAGAATGTGATGTTGAACTTTGAAGCACCCAAGATTGGGCGCTGAAGCCTATTGCATGACAACTTTGACAAGGTCGAATGCACTGGAGCAACTTAATTCGCACAGCTTGCGCAAATCTAGAAGCCAGCACGCGTATACGTTCCCCATTGTGCTCGCACACAGCAGACATGTTCAGGCGGCGTGCTGCCGCCACTGCTTGCTGCGGCGCTGAAGCGCCTTTCTGATAACAGCGGATCTGACAGGTGGGCTTCGGCATCGCAATTGATGACTTAGTGCTGTCTTCATATACTGTGCTTCCATGTGGGCATGTTCTCAACTATTCACCCAACTTGCAGAACAAGATCGCGCACCATGGTGCTGCAGCTCCAAGACTATGATGTTCAGTTTTCAGCTGGGATAGTGCGTGAAACAGCGACCTCCAACCGCGCACGTTTTGAGCGTCACCCGACTTGTTCTTGAAGCCGTGGATGCGGACTGGCAAAAGTTGGCCAGTAATTCAAAAAGCCTGAACAAGAGCCTGTGAATACCAGGGAGACGCCGGCTGCCTCGTTCCTCAAGCAGAAGGCGGGACAAATGGTGCGACCGATCAATCCATGTCAATCCCTACAACACTCCCAAGACCCTCGCAGCTTAGCAGGCCACCGCAATGTTTAAAGCATGAAGGAGCAGCAGCTAGTGAACATTGTGAGTCACTTCCGGCTATTGTGGTTCCGCGTTATTTCTAGAGGTTTTTCTATCGTGCTTGGACCTCATGAGCCTCAAAGCGCTCGGAATAACTTCGCAGAACGTTTTTCATGATCCCCGCAGTGGATGCAAACCTTACAGGCCATCAAGTTTCCTACGCCTCGCAGGGATCGCGGAGCCTTGCAGACCATGTAGCTGCTACAGCTTAGCTTCGCTGTATTTCGCTGTATCTCCAGTGCCCGGAGTCGGCCTTGTGGCACCTTGTGGCCAAGCATGGCCAAGCATAGAAGCCGAAAGAGAACGGAAGTTCAACTTCCCAGAGAGAAGGTGCAAGAAATGCCCAAACCCTTGCTGACCTCAATCTAGCACAGACAAAAGAAGCAATGCTTCGCCGTCTGAAAGGTGCAGACTGTCGCGGCTCTCTTGCAGCGCAGCACCGGAAGCAATGCCCTGGGAAAGCTTGGAACTGCGCTCCACGGCGCCAAATGTGAAACGCGTTCTTGCTTGCATTTCCTTGCTGGCAGCATCTGCCTACTTGCCGAAGCCTGTAAAGGCCGCTGACCGAGGTTCGTGCAGACCTGGGTTCCATCAGAAGGAAGTGAACACTTCGGTGGCAGCTCGGATGTTTTACCTGAGTTGTTCCGTGCTTAGGGTTCACTACAAGCGTTTTCTCAAGTGTCTTCTTTACAGGCTATTCTTGTTCCAGGACAGACTGATAACTGGAAAATGTTGTCCGGGCTTTGTTGCATGTTTCTGTGAGGGTTTGCCGCAGAAGCTTCAGAAAATCCAACAAGCCGTTGATCCTCAAGCATGCCAATATCTTCTGGCAACCTCAACACGTGGATTGCGATGCCATGTCCATGGCTAATTGCCGGTGAACTCTAGAAGCACCTGAGCACCCGCATTTAGTTACGCGAGAGAGTAGAAGGCTAGGCGAATTGGTATTCTTGCATCTGAACGAGATAGCGGCCATGGATTGAACGAGATAGGCCCCAGTTACCTTTGCAATAAGAGCCCAGTACATATTCCAACATGGCGAACGAGATCAGGTCATTTTGTCAAGCTACAGTACAAGATTAAATATAAGGTCGCATGAGGCCCAGGTAGTAAATAAAAACCGCCGCTCACCTGAATGCAAAGACGGTCTCCAGGCATAAAGACCATGCCTGGCCGTTTCCAGGCTGGTGGGCTGGGATTGCAAGCTTCCTACGCAGCGCTGGTCAACAGCGGTGCAGTGAATTGTCCGCAGTCAAACAGCATATTGGACACTGCTGACATAATCTGCAAAGTGCAGAGACCCTGGGGCTCCGGCCGATTGCTTGCCCGCTAGCCTAGTGTATTAGCATGAAAGCCGAATGCCACAGCGATGCATGCTCTCAATGACACATGGCAGGCCGTCCTCAACTGCCCTCATTCATAAGGATGCAACTGGCCCCCGTACATCGTCAGGAGCAGCTCAATCTTCAAGTCCGAAGCTGTCATCGGCAAGTCCAAACTGTACCCGAAGCCCAACTAAGAGACTAGAGAACTAAGGCAGACTTTTACTTTACAGCTACTTATGCTACTGACTGCCACTGCTGACAGCCTCTAGACGACTCTGCCCCACCATAACGTGTTTTCTCATTCGGAAACCTCACATTTTGCAGCCCCAGCCACGTCCAGATGCTGATTGCTGGCTTGGCTTCTCAGAGCTGCGCGCAGCTAGGTGCCTCCGTTTGAAGTAGGGTCCGAATGCAGAACAGCATACTGTCGGAACAAGCAGGATGTAGCAGAGTTTTTGGAGATATTGGACAGCTATTTAGTAGTATACATATATATGTAAAACTCCGTTCCGGTGCAGATTTTGCGGGGCATCCCTTCATGAGTGCTTGCAAAACAAGTTCAATCTTTTCTGCAGCTGCCGTACCGGATCTCGAATTCTTGGCAATTATCAGCAGCAAGTTTTGTGGGGAGGGTGCAGTCAGGGACCTCAGACTTGGGCATGTGATCCATTGATGCGAGCTAAAGAGAGTAGCAGGTCGGGCGGTTGGGCATCACTTCACCGCAAAGTCTCTGCTGCCATCTTAACAGGCACCCCCACAGCCCAGCACGCCTATTGCACAGGCCTCTTTGAGCTGGACGAATCAGCCCGATAAGTTACAATTGCTAAAAAAACATCGAAATTTTGAGGGACCAAGGGCGGAGGGCTGCCAAGCAATTCGTCGATCTCAGACAGCCGCATCATGCAGGATGTCTTCATTGAATTGAGGACACATCCTCTGGACTTGCAGTTCCTCAACCCTCCACTGCGCAATTTTGCGGACAGGAGACATACAGACGCAATTTGCGAAGCAGCTGACTGGCTTTCGCAGGCATCCCCGCCGCTGGAGTTGTGACGGGCTTCGGACGTTGATAGTAGGATCCAGTCCATCTTGGGTAGAGTCAGATCCAAGAAGTCAGTTGCGGAACCGCAGGGTTACCAGGTTTACCAGTTGCAATTCGCTTTCTGCATCTGTCTCAGAAGACATCGCAGGAGCCTTGTAGAGCCCATCGGCGGGGACAGCCTCGACTGGCTGGCAGTTTGGTCAGGAGCGCTGGTAATGATTGTTCTAAAACGGTTTTCGTTTTACTGCCTGTCGCCTGGAGGCCCACTGCTTTGCACGGAGCATCCCTAGTCTGACACTTTATTGGCACGTCGCAGTGGCAGACACGCAGCGCGCGCTAAGCATGAACTCAGTGCGTCAGGGTTTCCACCAGACCTGCTTCAAGGATCCTAGTCAGATATTTTGGCTATTCAGGTGAGACATGCCTGACACGGCAGACGAAGCGTCCAAAATCATTCCCAACAGTTTTGGCACAGAATGGTCTGACATGATGCAGAGCCAAAGACAGACGCGAAACAGAGCTGTTCATGCCTTTGCCTCCTACCCACTTCATTATCGGGAAGTCATCGCATCATCTCACATCTCGGCTACAGACTTGACACGTCCCTCAAGGCCCTTGGCTAAACCCAAAGCCTTGGCTTGGAGGAGCGTGTGGCCTCTTCTGTCCCAGCCAGGGTGTATGTGCAAGTCTCAGCGCATGGTGGGACTCTTTAGGCAATCCACAAAGCCCTGGCGATTTAGGATGGCCCGCTTTTGAGGTCAGGATGGGAGTTTGGGCATTCAGGACTAGAGGGCTGACGATATGCCTATCTTTCAATGTACCCGCCGTACCTCTGCCTAGGCTCCGATGCTTTGTCCTCTTTGCGGCATTGTGT